AAGCATAACAAAAAAGTCAAGCTATGAAAGTCTAGTGCTAGCATGCAAAGGTGGCCTCTGCCTGACCTGAAGGGGCTGCACACTTGGCAGGACAATCTTGCAAGTGCCTGTGCTGGATGAACTGGTCATGACCAGAGGTGTCCAATGGCCTCCATTACCACTCAGAGCTATAAGAATTTCAACCTGGCATATACCAGCTAAACATGAACTGTAGAATTCTAAAACACAGTCTTTTTTTCAAAGACAGAATTTGCCTTACCTACTGTAAAATAATAACAACGATAAGTAGATGTTTCCAACTAATCTCTCATATTGAATATGCATTTTGATTTCCATAAAGAGCATGACTAAAAGATCTATTGCAGCAAATGTATATTTATATCCACAATGAAGATATTTTTAACACTTTGATATTACTGAGTTACTCTTTTTTAAATGGAACTACACAAATTAAAACTTAAATGTTTCATTCTCTATTACAATATACTAGTCTGAGGAAGAAGATTTTCAGGCTGGAAAATTCTTTTTGGTTCAACTTATGCCAGGATTAATCCCCTTTATATGAATGAGTAATCTGCAGAGGTCATACAAGGCCTACAAACTATATTAATTACTAGAAACCTAATTAGAAATCAACAGAGTCAAAGGATCAGTGTTGCTTCCATACGGTACCATCTGGTACAATGGGTCTGGATAGTTCAGCAAAACCCCCATTGCTTTCTGTGGAACTTCATCCTGAAGATGTGTTGCCAGAGAGAGCAAGTTTATGCTGATAGGAGCTAGTTGTAAAGCATTTTTAGAGTCATCCTAAATGACAGCATCCAATTCCCTGTATTTCAGGTTGTTACTTCAAAAGTTAGTTACAAAAAGAGTATTTACTCAGTTTTCTTTTTAAATGCAATACCGATGCAGTTGTAATTTGCCTTTCCACATACAAAGATACCCCAAATCCATATACGTGAAAAAAATCCCTAAACAAGCAAATACAAACATATGCCATAAAATGGTTTAATTAAGATAGTAGGTGTGTGTATCATCATTTGCTTTGTTAATTATTACTCAAATGTAAAAAGGCACGTCCAGAGTGAAATTCCACAGATGACACAAACAGGGTAGAGTGTGGCTTCCATCATCTCTGGCGTGCGTGGAAGTGGTAATTATTATTACCAACTGATTTCCCCTCTCAGCATGCAGTTAATTTGAACATTTTGACTAAAACATTTCAGTCCTGTTAGCCAAATAAATAAAAAAAAACCCAGGTGTTTGAAAACTCAACTTATATGGTTTTAAAGCCAAACCTTTCCAAATATTTTGACTTGGGGACACATAAATGTCATACATATGTCTAGTCAATTTAATTTTCAAAGGAACTTAATGGTTAGCCATATTTCATCACTTAGATTCACTCATTAGCTTCTGAAATTGAGATCAGCCACTCTAAAAGTCAGTAGCTTCAGTTTTGTCCCTGTTCGGGCCCAGTTCTTTCTGCTTAATTCCCAGATTTTGACTGGGAATAACAGAGCTGTGTAATTCACCTAGTCTCTCCAAAATTCTCTCAAGAGCTGTGGTAAATGTAATGCTTTTCCACTGAACAGCCAATTGTGTTACAAGCTGTTACCTTTCCAGTGAGTATTTGCTGATCTGGTCAGTATGTATTTAGTACAGGTGAACACCAAAGTTGGACACTTCCCTCATCAGTGTCCTGCAACTCAGGAAGGAACTAGAGCACCCACCCTGCAGCAAAAGGGCTGAGAACTGGAAAAAAATCTGAACTCCAAAGGAGTGCTACAACTTAAAGGACATTCTGTATACCCTGGATGTCAGATGATTACAGGGACACTGAGACACAGCTTTGCCCATTCCCTTCTGTAGTTATTTTTCACTTTCTTGTGAGTGGACCCAGAGAAAAGATCCTGTGTCTTTCTAAGCCAGCTGTGCCACCATAGAGTCCAGTAACTGTTTCTAATCTCAGGATTCTGGGACACCGCTTCTTGTTGCGGCTCATTCTTGGATTCACAGCCTGCCAGTCTCAGACTTCCCAACTCATCCATCAGACTACCCTGTTCCTTGCCTCTGCTGCCAGTTGTGGACATGCTACTCTTCTAGTTTAAATCTTTTGTAGTAAACACTGTAGTGAGGCTTAGTTAAAGAATTTAGTATGTATGAACACAGACTTCATTTTGGAAAAAGAATGATCTGTGATAACGTTCTGTATCTGTCCAGTTCATTTCATTACACAGAAATAAATCTCCACTGAAGTGTATCTTGCTTCAGTGAAGTTCAGAAGAAATAAGGATTATCACTCTTTCTAGATTCCGCACTTATGGCAGACAGTGTTTAGAAACAGTGGATTAAATCCTATTTAGACTCTAGTTTAGCAGGTTCTCTACTTACACAAATCCATTCCAGCATTGTATTTTAGTAAAGAACATAATTCTTGAACTGTAATAAAGTTATCTAATACAATTTTTTGCCTTGCCTTGCATTTCTGAAGACCAATCCCATCAGCTGAGCCATGTCTGTTATTGATTTTGTCAAAAGGGAGCAAAGAAAGTTCTCACCCAAATCAGTGCTGACAAAGTGTCTGGTGACAATGGTAAAACGAGATCTACCTTAGTGCATAGAGCTGATTCCACACTGCTAATCCTTTCTGACACTTCCAAAAGTGTGAAAGATGCGACAGTAGTATCCATTTCTTTGGAAATTGAGAAAGAGAGCGTCCTCGTTCATAATTCTGCTTCAGAATAGCACATAAACTACCAAAAGCTGTTGGGTTTTTGGTAGCATTCTTCCAGCTCCTTGTGGTCTATGATGAAGTGGTGGTCTCTGGGGCCTCCTGTACCAGATGGGTAAATTCCAGTTTTGAGGTTCCTGCGCTGCTTGCCTTAGAGGTAACCCCGGGCAACACGCTGGGTAAGAGTGTACAGAAGGTGGTGTGACTCCAGTTTTATCTTTCACATTAGTACATATCTGGTGTCAATAGCTCAGGCTACAAACACCAGACACCGGGTGGGAGCTGTCAGGCTACAACGTCCCCTTTGCACAGAGGAATTGGAGTGTCAGGGTTTCCCCGCTCCGAGATTGCTCTGTGCAACGGGGATAGTGTGAGACTACACTGTCCTAAACCATTTTAGCTAATAGTGATACTAATTGACAGACCAAGGCCCAGAGCAATTCAATATACTCCACGTAACTTTGTTCTATCACAACTCGTCTCCCATGTCCCTCCCGCTCCCTCCTTTGCCATTTTTCCTGTAGGTGAAGATGACCAGCAGAAACAAGACTGCGAGAGACACGCAGACCCCTGCCTGATGCCTGTGAAATCCAGTCAATAACAACTAGATTTTCCTCTGGAGAGAGACCATTAAGGCATCTTTATGAACTGTGGTTGTCACACTTCACTACAGCACAGCAGCAATCCTGCTTCTGTGCCAGAAACCAAAGGTTAGATGCCACAAGTCTTGCAGAGTAGCATGCTCTCTCTCTGAACTTCCCTCATTTGGTAAAACAGGAAAAAATAAACATATAACCCTATTATATTGCTGGTTTTGTTTCTATTTCAGGAAGTAGTTTTTCTGGTATTGAAGTTCTTGTGGTTTTCCTGAAATGTGATTCACATGGACTAAACATCTGATGAAAAATGGATGCTGATGCAAGACTTTGCTTTTAATTTATTCAGGCAATGCCGTATCTTACAAACCATTTGCTTCAGCCTCACCCAGACAATCTTGAAAAATCCAGAAAAACCTTTTTTCGAGACTGTATCTACTCATTACATTTGAAGTCACAGGCTTCTATAAGCAGTTACAGACTGAGTGGACTGAACACAAGCTGAAAATTATCTTTAAGCCTGGAATGCTTCTTTGATTCCTTGTCTGCCTGCATGTGCAAAGATCTGGACAACCACATGAAAATTACTCTCAGGTTCTTTTAGCTGGTCTCTAGTTTTTTTGAAAGGAATACCTAAAATTATTTTTAAAACCTAGTATTGGAAATTTTTTCAATGATTCTGGGTGTGATTTTCTTCTTTATAAAGAAGGTCCTGACAGCAATAAAATACCCATGATAGTATTTACACCAAGAATATTTAGAGAATCACAGACACTTAAAAAAAATGTTTAAATAATCCCACATTAGATACTATATATGTATCCCATGCTATATTATAAAACAAATAGTTTGCTTTCTGTAAGGATGTGCTGAACTACAGTAGAATTACATCTCTTTGCTAACAATAACACTTCCATGAGAGTAATTTTCAATAGGAATGAGTCTATTTTCTCCAGGTTTAGGCACTATCTCAGCATTTGAGAAAGGATGAGGGTCAATTTTTTGTTGCAGTGAGCACCCGATGAACCTCAAGAAGGTGAATAGGGGATTAACAAACATCAACCCTGACATCCCATCAACTGACATGGGTATTGGAAAAAACGAACCAATCCCTCACATTTTAAAATCTGCCATTTACTGGCCATCCATTCCGAGAGCTAACTCACTGACAGTGAGAATTAAAGGGTAAATTGCCAGCCTGAGCAGTATAACCATCTGATCCCTGTGTTAGCCTCACAATATGCTTAACAGGATTTCCATCTTCTAGTTCCCCCCAATCCAATCGGATACACCGTTCTGGGATAACATGGTTCTGGGGTAACTGCTTGCCAATGGTCAGAAGTACGTCCTTTCTGAAAATCAGTATAAATAGGTAACGCAGTGAGTGAGAGCTAAGCAATTGTTAATCTTCTCTCATATTTCTTGTTGGAACAGGAAGATTTTAAGTGAATGCATCAAGCATCTTAAAAGCTAACAAGAGCTTAGCAGGTTAAACGTGAAATAGGTTTATCAGATCAGCGTAGTGCTCTTCTCGTAATTATGTTTTTAGAGCCTGGTTAGGGGATGGTATTGGAGAAGGGCTTGTGATGTCAGAGTGGGTAGGGCTTAGAAGCAGGGATGAGGGCTAACCAAGATAAATTCAATCTGTATTTAAAGTAAAGTCAGCGTTAGTTAAGGCAGTTTTTGACATGTCAATCTTGATGTGTTTTAAAAGCTGCCAATCACATTACTGAGGCAGCTTGTAAGGAAGACTTATAGTGAAGGCACATACTCTTGGATGCTCATGGTGTCTTCATTTTACCCAAAACTAAGGTCTTCACAATAGATGTAAGTATACATGGAATAAAAATAAAACGTGCTACTTTTTAATGTAAATGGAAATGCAACATCTGCTAAACAATACCAAGAGGCATATGATTTTTCAGATTTTGACAGGAAAGACTTATCTCACAATAGAAACAGCACAGATCAAAGCAGACTTCTTCATGGTGTTTTTCTTTAAGAACAACACTGGACTTCAGAGAGTAAAGTCAGGAATTGGCAGGGGTGATACAAAAAAGTAAAGTATGTGATTAACAATGTTCTGATTTCTCAGCAATCTGCTATATCTATTCTTACGGGTATATAATCCTGCACATTCAGGTGCAAATGTTGTATTTTTTAAGACAAACTTAATAATTTTAGAACTATTTAAAGATCTATTTCACAAATGGAGAATTTTACTTTGGGCAGGCTTGTCGTTGTATGTTCAGTATTTTTCTAGAAAGCTCTGGATACAGATTGAGTTGTTTAATGTATATGCACAAATGTTTTACTGTCTTGTCTAACCAAAACAAAATATTCTTAAAAGCTAACTGGTTGTTAATACATATATCTTAGTGCTAATTTATCTTTTTAAGGTATGATAGAAAAAAAAAAAAAAAATCAATATTTTACAGATACTTCCCGGAGCAGCACATTTTCTAAGTCAGTGTGCAATCAGAATTAATCAACGCTATCATCAGATATATTTGGATGTTTTAGTCTGACATGTCTACATTAGATTTATCTAATTAAAATTTTGCTCGTGTGTGTAGACATTGTAACAAACCCCAGTGCTAGCAGCTTTGTGGAACACCAATGTATGCAGTGTGATATATTTTGTAAAAATAATATCAAAAAGTGATGAGGGTTCCTTACATCTTGTTATTATCTGAATATGTGGGCGGAATTAACTGTAGACTGAGAAAGGCTTGGGCACTATTATATTGCCTTTGGAGCTAAAATTTCATGTTCCTCAATTACAGAATATGCGAATTTCTCATCTCCCCAGTGCCCCAGAGATACAGAAAGAGCCAGAGAAAGGGGCATTCCTAACTCAAGTAATTCTATCATGGTCTGATCCTGCACACTGGAGCTGAAAATGTTCAGTGCGTTCAAGATGCTGATTTCTGAGCCTGCTTACAGGATCAGGGGTGCAATTTCACATGTTAATCTCACAACGGGAAAAACTTTGTATTAAAACTTGTGACTTCATCTATGAGTTGGAAAGCAACAGTGGTTTTAGTATCTGACATCTGTGATTTACTTATATTTTAACATACCTGCACATATTTTTTTTTTAAATAAACGCATGCTGTCTTTTTCTTTGTAATAAAGAAAGCTAACCTGAAATGATTAGTGATAAAAATCCTGCACCATCTTGTTTTACCTTAAATGTAGATTTGAGGAAGACCAAGGGATACCGCTGCAATATTTAATATCCTAACTGAAGAGGAAAGGTACTGAGGATTCAGTACAAGTTTTCTAGATTCAAACTCTTAGCCAGTGAAGTTAGAGTTGCTAAATAGTTTTAAATAGTCTTCCTAAGACCTGTTCCTCTTTCCACTACCCCGTTTATTTCGGCACTGGGAGTGTTGTCATTAGCACTAATATTTCATGTTGAAGTGAGACACAAATCCCACTAAAATGCAACTATTAGTCCAAGACTTCCATTTCCAGTATTCAAAAATAAAAATTATAATAAAACCATCCCAAACTTTATACTTTAAAAATGTAAAAAATTTAAAAATACAGAGTTTAGTTTCCCTTTAACTGATCCCACTTATGCCACATTTGGCAATCTTCAGGCTTCTAAACGAATCAGAGGCAAGAGGATAATGTTTCAAATGTCATCCCTAATTATGAAATAAACCCACAAGGAAAACAAATTACATCATGCTTTTATCTCTGTGTCTATAACTGATGTAACAGAGACCCATCCCTTGTGAACAGCTTCTCCATGTATCAGTTTGTCAAGATACAGGGTGGTTGTACAATGCCATGCACGTTTACACGTGCGTGCACACACCTTCTCTGCTACAACCGCTATCTTCATCAGTTCTTGCTTAATTATTTTACTTAGTTTTCAAAAGGCATAATTAAAGCACTCAGCGTGATCCCAACTGGAGTCTTTGGGTGCTGCCACAAATACAGAGGAATAATATTAGCAGTATGGATCTGCAGAAACTGGTCCTGTGGTTACAGCACGGAGCTGAGACAGGAGTGCTGAGCACAATTCCCACCTCAGCTGCTTCCTGTCCTGTACCTGTATGGCTCCAGGGCCAGAGCAAGCAGCAAAGCCGCTTCCCCTCCCCGCCCCCCAGCTGTCTGTCTCACCCAGCAGGCTTTGAGGGCTCTTGCTGAGTGTTTGTGCTCAGCACAATGCATCTTCTTTGGTTTTAGTCAATGCATTAAACTGACTGTTGCCTTAGTGGCACACCAGAATAACAGCTTCCCCTTGCCCCCAGCCATTCCAGCAGGAACAAGATGAACTTCTATTATGAACCTAACTAATTCCTGAAGGATTGAGTTTGCCAGTACTAAGCCTTGATTTCTTCCTGAGATCAATGTGTTTAAAAAACAAAACAAAACAAAACCGAGTAATTTACTGCTTGTAACCTTACCAGTTAGCTAGTTCAAAAATGGTGAAATATCCATGCCTTCATTTCAGTGTCAGGCATGCAATACAAACTCCACTGGCTGATACATACAGTAGAAATATAGTTATTTTCCTTTCTGTAGGGAATGTATCGTTCTCAATCCAGTTTTAGGATTACACTCTAATCAGAGTCTCTGAACAGTCTGTGCCCACGTATCTAGGATTAGAATTTATCCCTACAGCCTCTCTAGTGGTACCTTACCCCAATTAAGACAACACTTTTCATGCTCCTATATGACATAATGTTGGTATAATTGCTTTCCAGAAGTAATTTATTTTGCTGACTGTGGGTTCTTGAATAAGTACAAGCTCTAGCTTTAGGATTCTCAGCACAGGTTTAGGGCAAGAACCCTTGATACTACAGTTAATAATGTTAAGAGTAGTAATAATATTGGAAAATCTATTTATTTTTTAAAACATCTGATTTCTCAAGTAGTCAGGAAAGCTTTTTCTAAAAAAGGAGGCAACAGAAATGAAGATGAGACTATGTATGGAGTTTATTCTTGTATTTCACTCATGAGCACATGTACCTGTTTATATTCTATGTTTAACTGATTTCTCTGACACAGATTTACTTGAGCATTTTAAACAGTACCCAGCTTCTTCCAAACAGTCTATGGAGCCATTGCAAAGGTACACTAAACACTGGGTTTAAAAAAATGCTAAAAAATTCCATGTATTGTCAATAAAAGCGGAATTAGTTAATGAAATCTTAATTTATTTAACTAAAAAAAAATTAGTCTTTCAACAAGTCTCTATTACACATAAGACTATACTGTATTTTGCCAATGCAATGAAACAAACTGCTATAGACATTTTGAAACTGTGTAAGGCATGATTAGATTTGCAACTGCTTCTGGTTCATGAGGTTCATGTCTTGCCACTTCTCATCTAATAAATTGAGACAGAATTAGTACTGGGTGAGTGGTTCTGCCTGCTGCCAAGAAGGGTTTGCTAAGGCTAAGACTCTAAAGGTAGAGATTAACTTGTCTTCATCCCTGTAATGTGCTGGACAGCCAGGATTTGTGCAATAGGATCACAGCAGAGCCATATATGAATGTAACACTGGACAGCTGGTGTGTATGAATTTACATGAACCCTGATGTAAGATTTTGAGCTACTCCTAAATCCCAGCTAATATATGTATCAGAAGTATACTTTCCCTGTTCCCTCAGAGATCTTTTTTTTGCTGATGCTGGTTGCTAACATGCTAGTTTTTATGGAAATAGTATGAACTAAGTACCCTAAATTTGACCTGCAAGTCAGAACCCCAGCTAAGTAACCGAAAAAGGTGTTTTTCCAAATGGAATAACATAGATTAGTCAAGTCCAGTATCTACTCCTGACGCAGGGTTATACACAAGTCTTTACATTAGGATATTAAGCTAACTATTTATCCTGTCTGATCTATTCAATACTTCCCTGTACAGGAAATTCAGGGAAATAAACAAGTAATTTAATGCAGATGACATATACATATGATGTATATGCAAAGTTCACATAATCTTGATATTCTAACATTAAGCTAGGAAAAAACAGATTAGCATTTCTGTGGAAATCTGAAAACTTTTGCTACAAATACCAGAGTTATTTTTATATATCTACATAAATAAGAAGAAATCCAAGCTAAATTAGCTAGGATTGACTGGCACACCAATGAAAAAAAAAACAGAACGACTTCATGGAGCAACTCCAGTGAAAACCTCAATAAGAAATCAAACCCTTCTTTTGTCTCACAACAATCCAAAAACAGTCAATGGGAGCAGTAAGCTAAAGCTTCAGTTGAAGAAGATACCAATGAACTTCCAAGCCGTATTATTCCTTTACTTTTTTCAATACTATCTCTTTTCCATGTCAAACTAACAGAGCACCTAACCAGACTTTGCAAGAAGTTGCTTATGTGATGCACATTGCCTGAATGTTGCTCTGTGAATCTTGGTTATTATCTAATGGAAAATCATCAATAAACACAGATCAACTCCACTGTGGATGTTGCTGTATAAGGTACACTACATTCAGTGAGAACTCCAGCATTTAAAAGAAAAATCACACTTTTAGAAAGAAAAATTTTAAGAACATTTTTAAATAATTTCTGCTTCAGCTCTGAAAGGAGGCTGAGAGACTACCTGTCAACAGACAGTATGTTAATACTTCACATCCAACAGAAATCCAGACTTGTTTTGGAAACTGTACAGACTATACAGAGAACACCACAGGGATACTGGTGCTATGGTTTCTAATCACAAATCTACCATTCGGTGGTTGATAGATGGCCGTCAGAACAGGCAGGGTATATGGGATCCCATGTGGAGGTGGTGGATTTAGGTCAGAATAGATTGGTCTTTTCCCACTAGGTTTTCCATACACTTCAAAGTTGTATCAAATAATTTTAGTCACAGGTGTGATTACAGGGGGGAGTGGAGTGACAGGTGTTACTACAACAGTAGAAGTGTAGAAGTACTAGGTAGACCTGATAAAGAAAAGTGTCTTTTACTTGTACATCTTTTTCCCACACAGGGACAGCTTCCCTAGAATAAAATGCATTCACAGCTGTGATTAAAACAGGGGATTGAAGCATTCTAGCCATTCTTGAAAAGCCAAAGTGGTACAGCTTGTCAGACATCTGACAGAAATTTTGTCAGTGTTAATACTAGCTTTTAGATTTTTTTTTCCCCCCTGATTTACTGGAATAAAAAGGTCAAAACCTCCTGTTTTTTCCATTGTGTTTATCTGAACCTCTGCTGGTTGCTTTGCACCTTCATATTCTCTAGTCAAGTGCACCAGGCAAAGGCCAAAGACCAGGCTGTAAGGAGGTTAGCATGAAGTTTAGAAGCGCAGCTTTGTTTTCCAGAGTATTTAATACACGGTCACTCATCTGTGAAAGAAAACCACCTAAATGGCTCCCTGGACCAATAGGGTAGGGCAAATACCATCATCCCAGTTGCCATCTATTTTTTGAGCTGCTGTAAAGTTTAGTTCAGCATTAAATCGCTTTAGTACTGAGCTTTAAAATGCTTTAGCAGCTCAGAAGCACTTTGGCAGCTCAAATGCTCTTCATGAAGCACCCAGCATCCTAAACCACTTTAAGTCTAAAGTATCCTAAAAAAAAGGCAAATGGAAACACGTCCAGCAGCACATGTTCAGATACATATGTCAAAAACAAATGACATGGTGTTGGTTTTGGATTTGAGAGGGTTGTCTGCTTCCAGAAAGACCTGAATCTTGGCCAACATGAAATCTAGCACTAACAATATTTACAAATGTAAAGAACTTTGTATTCTGAGGGGACACCAGTGGTGTGGTCCAAATAGAGCCTCTATTCTCAGTCTGAATGGCTGAAACAACTAACTTGTCTACTTTTTAAAACTCCTTTTGAGGCTGAGACCAAGTAGCTTCACTATACCAAGGAAACGGTAAATTCCTGAAGCATGTGAATTAGATTGATAGCTTTCCCTTAAAATTTTTTGTAACTCACCAATAGGTTAAAGGCAATAGGAGTTATTATAATGATTACTCTAATTTATAATTGTCTTGGATAACAGTACAGAATTTGGTTTGGATAATGAATGGTTTTTAAAGTTTGGTTCTCTTCTGGAAAAGGGCTGGATGTGAAAGAGGGCATTTTTACTGTTCCTGCTTACTGTTTTTCTAAGGAATTTCTGTATCCTAGTTGGCTGGTTTAAAGGTAAACAAACCACTTAGCAATTGGATCCATCTTGTACTCACAGCAATGCTAACATCTCAAACTCTGTTTGATCTCACCGGTACTTGTACAACACCACTGCCTTTGGAGTGGTACCATATGCACAACTGGTTCCACAGTCGGATTTTATGACGCCAGTGCCATTAATCACAGGCACTGACTTTGTAAGAGTAGAAGTAGGGGCAACACAGCCTAAAGATGAAAACATGTCTCAGCCTGCAAAGTAAGCAAGTTTGACATAAGTGTGAAAATACCAAGAAAGACCTGAGCAAAAGGTAGGTAGAGTTCTCAGGGAAGGCTGACATTTTAACATAATAGCATCATCACAACATGCTAAAGGCAAATTGGCAAGTAAGCCATAAAAAGTCAAAGCATCCAAAGCTCTGGATGGTTTTGGCCATTCGTGCTTCAGAGATCGCATCTTTGTGGAGTGATTATTAACATGTATTCAGCAGTTGCCAGCACTCAGATGAAATGGGAGGTAGCTGCTGTCAGGGAATTTCTCAGTGATGGCTTCCCTGCCATGGGATTCACGTCCCAAACGACCCAGCAGAGAGCAGTCTGCTGCTTTTAGGGGGACAGTCAGTCCTCTGTTCCTTACACCTTGTTTCTCAGTGATTCCTTTTGCTGGCTTTCATGGAGTTCAGAAAGGCATGATTCACCTGAGCTCTCTGAGTTTGGTAGATTCCCTGTGCTGCTCTCTGCATTTCCAAGGTGTCCCTCACTGTTATCCATATCAAATGCCAGATGGACTCATGGAGCTGTAACTCTCCATGTACAAGATGAGAACACTTAAGCATTACATCCTCCATCTTTCCAAAGAGAGAATGAATCCATCTCATCACAGCTCATGTGGAAGAAAATTCAAGTCCTTAATTTCAATTTACTTAAAAAAATTGATGTGCAAATCTAGTTTGAAACAAATGTACAGATGCCCCTGCTGCCTTTAGAGCTAGCCTGCTCCCTCTGCCAGCCCCTCACCTTAAAGCATTCCACACAGGATAACTTTTTAACATCCAGGCTGTGCGTTATTGGACTTCTTTCCTTTATGACCTATCTGCACAAATAATCCTGCTCATTCCCCCAAAATCCTGAGCAGGGCATACTGGGGTTACTCCAGTATCAGGATCATTTGTCATCTAGTCACCTTCCTCTTTTTAGGAAGTTTCTAACTGCATTTAGAAATGCTCACACAATCCACCTCAATGCCAGTACAGCTATTCAGATATAGATCTGTAGCATTTTACTTTGTAGTTTAAATTTCTACTCTTCATCCCGCTTTATTTACCTGTACATATACAGATAATTAGTCTGAGCCTTGCTGGTTTTATTGCCGTTTTGATCATTACAAAAGCATGTTCTTTTACCTTTTTTACTTCATCTGGCAGTCTTAAGGGGCTGATGTCATTTGGAACATATTCCTACCATTTCTTTCCATCTGTTTCACTTAGTTTACAGTAGACAGTGCTCCAAACTATTACAGTTCCCAGATTAAACCAAAGATACCTGCCTTCCTGAGCATGAGCACATGTCACTGTTCTCAGGGCTGCTGTGATATACCAGGGGTTGCAGGCAAAACACTTTGGTTTTATGTCCTTCTGAGCAGCTGATACTTCCCAGCATCCTGAATTTCATTGCATGGTAAGACCCAAGGCCACTGAACAACTCAGTATAAACAAGGGCAACATTTGCATTGTCCTGAAAACTGGAAGTTTATATATGGTAACCAATACAATCCACAAGCACTGATGGGTACAGCTGTTACTAGCAGAAGGACTACCAGTTTATCTGAGAAATAACTTGCATAACCCGCTCTGTTTCTTACATTGTGGAATGTTTTATTCTTTTCTTTGGGCCTGCTGATTCAGAACTTTACAGCAGAAAAGTTGCTGCCTCCTTGCAGCATGACTCCACGAGATCACATAAGAAAAATCTCTATCCTGGGGGAACAAGGAACACTAGAAGAAAAGCACTTATACCGACTAGCAAGTGGCATGGCAGCAGGAGGTAAGCAGGAAGAAACCCAACTGCATGTTTGTTCATAGGATTGCCAATATCTGTGCAACATACAAACAGCCAGCAACAGGCTTAATGTCTTTAAAAGGTATCTCAAATTCATCTTAGGAGTAAATGGAGAAACATTTATCTTATTAAAAGTTAACACTGGGGATTCTTGTCATTCAGACCTTGATCAAGAGATGCTAAGCATCTGAAGAGGCTAGGTCACACAGGAACTCAGCAACAAAAGCCATAGCTGGACATTATGTCTGGCTCACCACTGCAGGCTCTTCTTTCTAGAGCTGCTGTCTCATGACAAGGCAGGTCCCAGCTAATAAGATCTTTCTAAAAAATAAAGCTGTATTAGAAATGAAAACTCTCTCAAGCAGAGAACCTATTGTCATCTATTTAATAGCGATATACGAATTATTGTTAATTGTAAATTGTCCTTTTGTACCCTTGACTGCACATCCTGTTTATTTTTACTGCAGTTTGATTATATAAAACTACATTATTTAAACAACGTGGTTAAGGTGGCAGTGGAAATGTATTCTTTTTTAGTTGCTATTAAAAACTAAAAGTATGATTTGCTAACTCATACTAAAATGCTGTCACTTGACAAAAGAAGAATTTTCTGGTAAAGTCATACTGCAGATAGAATAACTTTCTAATTTACTACATTGACAACAGAACTGTATATGCTTTGTGTCAGAACTGCGGCAGCGGCAAGAGATGCTAATGAGAAATCAGCTGATGGCAGTGAACCCCCAGATAATGGGCACAGGCCAGCAGAGGATGCAGGCAATTCCCTCCCAGTTTGAGCCTCGACTGGTAGACAGGTATTTTGCACCACTTCTCTATTACAACACTACCATTAAAGAATAACTGTGCATGTGCTGTACCTGAGTATATAAAGATCTTATTCTTAACTAAACAATGTCCTTTGCATGTCTGAATGTACTTTTGTCCTCCCAGAGATCTGTTACCTTCAACTGAAATGATGGCATCAGCTGACCCAAGACAAATCCATATGGCATCCCACCTCGGACCCACAGTCCCACAGCACACAAACATGCCAAACATTTTGTCCAACCGTGTTTACCCAGGCCCAGGTAATGAAGCACTGTCTGCATCCTGACAAGTGACACCAGGGAAATGAGAAAGCAAACCGTACCTACTAGTTTTTCATAGATTTATCAGTGGTGTCAATAAACAGTTTATTTTCTTTGGAAAAAAGGTCTCACTAAAAGGAGGCAGTCTGCCTACCAGAGATTCTAAACTGTGCCAGTTTAAGTCTAAACACCTCCATTGTAGCTTTTGTTAAATACACTGTTTTCAAAATCATTTGCATGTTTGTGCCCTCTCCTTCTCCTTTTACATTTTCGTAACTAAACAGAAGGTTGTAGCTAAACATATTAGTTCAATCAACAGCACTTTTGGGTATATTTAACTCTTGCTCATATATGAGCATTAACTGCTTTAAAGACTACTTCACTGACCATATTCTTTAATCACATGCCATCTTAGTCATGTAGGGCAACTCCAGGTCCTTTTAATAAAGGCTCAAAATTACAGGGCACAGCTCCAAGGGGAAGGCTGGGTACCACAGCATGGCAACACAGCCATGGCACACATGTCATGCTGCACATAAATTTATACATCACTTCATACAAAGAGGTCATATCTTAAGGTTCCTTCTTTGAGATGAGTGAATACGTTCTCAATGCCACACAGGTGAATAAACAGGTATTTCTGGCTTCAACTTCCCCCCCATGTCAATCTCAAATAAAAAGATTGCCTCAAGAGGAAACGCCATTTAAAATTACACGGCATCTAGGCTGGAAACAGCCTTGAAGGAGCAGGTTTGCTTTGCTTAACTGTTGGTTATTATTTTCTGAGCAGCTATATATACTTCAAAGACATAAGTCACCAGATAAAACCACCCTGCTGACTCTTTCCTTTATGGATAATGGCAGGTATCCCTAACTACAGATCTGATCCTGCAAACACCTGATGCAGGACCTTCATGCTTCTACTACAGATTCCCACCAAAACAATCAACACAAATAGGATTTAACTTGAAGTCATATCAGCTTTGTGGCAAAGCACATAGTTCAAGTCTTAAAAAGCTTTTTAAAGTGTCTCTGCATTGCTTTGGGGTTTGTGCATTTGCTATTGCTTGAGGAAATAAATGAATTTTACAGATTTTTCTTTCCTCTTCCCTTTAAGGATATAGTTTTCTGCAACCAGAATCCATGGAAGCTGTGGCCAGAAGACAGGAACTGGTTCAAAAGCAAAATATTGCCAGGTAATCAATAGCAAGCTTTGCTCTGAGGTGTGTGCCATGATTAGGGCAGCAAAAACAGTTGGAAATCATTAAGTCACAGACTTTTTTTTGTGGGTATTTACAGCAATTGAGATACTTTTTCAAGTCAGCCAGAGAAGCGGAGGGCCCTTAAGGTCTGAAGCTACTGAACTTTCTGGTTGCCCCTATTCTGCTTTTAGCCTTAAAATAATATAAGAAAAAGAAACAAACCTCTCAGCTTGGTTAAGGAAATAAGCAGCAGACTTCAGCCCAAGCCCTTGAACTCTGGATCCAAACACCCTGAAGTTACAAAAAGTCAGAAACAAGTGCAAACTTTACAGCTGTGTGCTATCACACACAACATTTTAAGCCTCTACAGCCAATCACCCCAAGGGCCCAGCTGTGTCTCTACCCAACCAAAGGTGGACAGCTTCCCTAGTTTAACCAAATACCCTGAATGTCAGGGTGACTATAGAGAGTCCAGTTATTTGTACCAGTTTCAGTGTCATCAGTAGCTGGTTAGGTAACCACCAGTGCCCTCTCTCACAGTCACACCATTTCCATACAGGAATTCTATTCTCAGCCACTCCTGCACTAGGCTCTGGCACAGTACTGAGCGGCAGCACCCCTCACACAGTAAGACTAAGAGAAAAGAACACATAAGTTCCAAGTAGGCATCTCAAGAGAATTATGACAGAAGTGTTTTGAGCTCTTCAGTCAGCAAAGCTTGATTACTGAACTCCTCCAAGCACAAGATTTGCATTAACAATGTATTTCACATAGCTGATGTCTGCAAGCAGTTGGTGCTAATTGCTGTAAGGGGCCTCAGACAAGAATGCACCCAAGGACATAATTTTTGCAACTGTGATGGGTACATCCCAGGGAGGGCAGAGAGATCAGCAGACACCTGTGGTAATCAAAGATAAGGAAGCAGAGAAACTTTACAGCCAGAGCAATGAGTCAAGATGAGGCTTTAAATGAAAAAACCCTCAGAGTTCATGGAAAGGACAATAAGAGACACCTCTTCAACAACCACTAGGGACCACCACAGACCACCAAAACCCCCCATAGAAGCCCCTCAGAGACCCTTCCCTAAATTTTAGTAGCTTGCACAGATATTAACACGTGCATTAGATCCTCTGAATATAGGTCTGTACTTCTCAAAAATTACATGAATATTTCTTTTATTGTATATGATACATGTGCTTTTGTCTTTCAACATGCACATTAGGTGGAATGATCCCACATGTATCCAGCACTGCAGTAAAGAACGCCTGCCTTCTAAAAGCTTCAAACTAAGTCTTAGAGGGCTCTTTTGAGACCAAATTTACTGCCACACAGCACAAAATCTGAGGAAAACCAAGCAAAATAGCTAGCAGGAAACATGCCCATCACATACACCCTCAGACCACCAAACCCAGAAAAACCCCAACATAAAAGATATGAAAAAACCTTTTACTCCAGTCTTTTAGTATCCTGGCAACTTCTGCTAGCTTCATACTGCCTGCTGCAGCACACATCACCTTTAAACCTTGCATTTCCTCCTTTCACTCTTTACAGAAATCAGGTGTTGGCAAACAATCTCCTGCACTTGCTGCAGCTGTGCTGCTGAGCACCTAGGCCTAAATCCTTGTTCTCTAAGGGATTCTGCCTCATATCAAAGCCCAGTCATCTCCTGTCTGCTGATTCTCAGGGGAGCAAACTCTTATCTGTGGGAGTAGTCAGGAATGTAATGCTTGTTGCTGATTTTCTCCACTTCAAGAGCTGTGTGTGAGCAGTCATAATTGGGCAAGATGCAGAAGGACGTGGTACACAGACAAAACACTTCCACTGGATCTCTAAAAGCAGATAATAACTGGAGGTTGTTGCAAAGATGAAAAGAGGGCAGAGAAAAAGCCCTGAATATTATGGAGCAATCAACTAATTCCTCCATGCAACAATCACCCAAATAGATACTTTTCTGTCTGATCACTAGCTTACCTCCAGAGAAAGCTGATGCCAGCAAAGGTTGGTACGATGGAGACACATGCTACTCCTTGTACTCTCTGTATCTCACTGGTGAGCCCTCCTACCCGCTATGCCAGGGGCAGGAAGCTGGCACAGACCCTGGAGCACTGGCTTTATTCACCAGGAGGGAGATCAGTTGAACACTTACCACCAGGATCTCACCCTTTCACACCCTCAGGGCCATGCTCAGGTGCCGCTATGGAGAGTTCCTCAAGAGACTTGCTCACATTAGCTTACTCTGAATGGATGCACAGGTTCTGGAGATAATATAATTCTAGTTCTTTATCACTTACAATATCACTGACATTTTCCAGTTTTCAGTATAATTTTCTGATTGGTAATGTAAATCACTTATTTGCTTTAGTATTTGACCTCTATGACCCTGGAGAAAATTTTCCAAATCCCACGCGAGCATAATCACTGTAATAATGCCTGGTTTGACAATATACAAATAGCACTTTTTTTTGTCTGAAATACTACCCAGAGGCTTTACATGGAAGATACATTTTATCTCCCTTTTAGTTTACTATATGCATCTGGCAGCACATTAAATATAGCCAGGTTTGCCATTCTATCTGCACTCAGTGACCTCTCACAGGTAACAATATAGGGAAGAGATAAGAAAAGCAGTAGTACTCTTTCCTATCCAATTGTCAGAGTTTTAATCTGCTACTGAAAAAAAAAAAAAAAAAAAAAACTGCTTGTGCTCTGTGTGTCTCTCAGAATGGAAATGGAGATGAGTGCTATTTTTCAGCAAAAAGAAATGGAGAAAGCCCATCGGAAAGGGCTGCTGGGACTGGAATCACCTTTCCTTTACCATGGGATGGCAGCTAGTCCCATTGCTTTCCGTGGGAGGCACAGACTGCCTGAAGGCCATCTTCCTGGGGATTTATATGTTCATCGTACCACCCTCGATGAAATTCATGGCAACACCATGCTCATGGCAACCAGCCCGTACCCGCCAGTCAGCACTTTGCAAAGGGAGAGGGGACGTCGCCCAGGGAGAAGAGCTGGAAATCACAAAACTGCAGACTGTAGCGCCAATGGCACAAAGAACCAAGCTGATGACAAAACTACAAACCTTGCTTCAGCTGCAGGGGATGATGAGAAAGAAGACAAGAAAGAAGCAGAAGTGGAGACACCAAACAAGCATGAACAAAGCAAAAACCAGACTGAGCCACCTGCAGTTGCCAAAAACTGTAAAGAGTTTGAACAAGGCTTGAGAAAAAACTGTGCTACTCATGAAATTTCTACTGAAACCAACAGCTGCAGCAACACAAATGAGAAGGAATCTAATAGCTCCTGTGCTGCTTTTGATGACAAGTACATGTACCCTTCTGCAATCCCATTCTCAGCGTTACCATGTGGATTTCCAGTTCCCAGCAACCCACTGCTACCTTCAGGTTTGTCAAGTCTCCAGATTACAGTTAGAGTGTCATGTTGATATTATTTATTTTTATTGAGTTGCTCTCTGATTTCTTCTATTTCAAGCAAATTTTTGGTATGATACAGTCACAGCAATTAAATGTAGAATTCATATGCTGCAAATAGCAGTAACTTGGTAAATTCAAGTCGGCAAAGGTAAAGAATGGTTTTCCCCACCTGCAAACTGTGCTGCTTGCTGACATAAGGTTTCTGCATCGTAGGTAACAGTGCTTTACTTTGCAGGACAATGCAAATGCACAGCAAAAAGTCACAAAGCAGCCTAACTGTTTCAGTGCTCTGTGCCACGCACTATACTGCTGTCATCCTGTGTGTGTATCATTCCCTGGGGAAAACACACTTGTCACCCCTAAGCTGTCAAGTTAGCAGCACGTTGAGATTCTTTGCAATTCTGTTCAATGTGTTACATTCTCTCCTCTCCTGATGGTGTGGGCGAAATGCACACAGCACGAAGAAAACTGATCATAAACCCTGTGTATGTCAAACAGGACAAGGAGTCTGCACTCGTTTAGGAACAAACTTATCCGTGAGATTTGGTCTCCCCAAGAGCAGAGCGTAAGACACGGGTCTCTTCAGGCTCTGTACAAGAATTGTCATTTCTAAAGCTTTGCAGCTCTTGTTAAATGCACCAGTGCCAGTGGATGAGCCCTGCAAAACTCTCCCATTACCTGAAATAAGAACAGGCTGGGGTGTTTATCCAGGATCATCTACCAAAGACATACTGTATCACTGAAAAATATATAATCGTAGAATCACAGAATCATTTAGGTTGGAAAAGACCTTTGAGTCCAACCGTAAACCTAATACTGCCAAATCCACCAGTAAACCATGTCCCTAAAATGCACATTATGTATTCCGTTCCTGTCTGCAAAAGGAATTTCAACTAAAATAAACAAAAATGCAGTTGTGAGCTAGCCTCTCTCTTCTGCCCATAACTTTTCCATATGTCCTTGTAACTCACAGTAGGCACTATGGGCTAGCAAAGGCTTGGTTCTATTCTACTGAAATATTAGTCAAGTTGAAATAACAGTAAAATCTAAAGAATCAAAAGCATTGGATAATGTATTCAGTAGAGAAAATACTGCAGTATGATTTGTATGTGTAGTGGTACATAAGGTGCCAGCAGTAAACAAAAGAAGCTACCAAAAGAAAACCCTCCAGAATCAGCTACTACTGACTATCTGGTGATTTTAGAGTCCAGGATTCTCACGTCTGCCTGTGACTACACACTGCTGTTAATGTATTAGGTTCTGGAGAAGTATAAAAATTCTCATGTTAACAATCATTTCCTATTGATTTGCCAGCAAAGTTCTACAAATCTAACATTCGTGTTTCCTCCTCAAAGGAGCACATGGCCTGATCCTGAACGGAGAAGACATTTCTTCCATTGAAGACATTCGCAAGTGGACTGTTGATGACGTATACAACTTCATCATTAACCTCCCAGGCTGTTCAGATTATGCTGAGGTGATTCTAAACTTTCATCACATTTTCAGATCTTTAGGACCATCTAGATTTAAAGGTCATCAAACAAATGTAAATGCTAGAGGTCAACTGATTGTCACAAAGTTACAAAGGTAGTTTGTAAGTTTTCATTGTGCTTCAACATATGAAGCCACTTACTTCCCTTAAGAAGTAAGGAAAGCTCAGCAGCAATTCAATAGTCTTAAGAAAAGTATCTTATTTTTTTCACTCCACATGCCCTGCACAGTTTTTATGCAGATTAAAGCAATTCTGCATTCTTGTATATTTGTATAACTCACCTACCACCCCTGAGCTCTTACAGGCATCTCTCCATTTGACAAATGAAATATCATTAGAAAGGCAAGAAAAGCGGTTGAAATCTTGTATATTCCTGGTAAAGCCTTAATAAGATCAACACTATTCATTATTCTTTCACTGGTAGCAGGCTGCTCACTTCCTAAAAACCCCTAAACAAGTAAGTAACATTGAAACATTACAAAGTTCCCACTTGCCAAGAACAAGTAGATAAGCTACAGGCAAATGTGCTGATATCCAAGCACCTGAACAAGAGACCTCATGCTGCAGTTAGGAGACAAATACAAAGATAAAATAAAATTATTAATTCCTCCTTTTGTTGCTTATGCCTCAGGATTAAGCATAAAAAAAATAACCAATTAAGTCTGTTTTAGCACACCACAATGTGTTTTATCATTTCATAAGATATTTAAAGATCACGCTATTGATGGAGAAACCCTCCCACTGCTGACAGAGGAACATCTCCTGGATACCATGGGATTAAAACTCGGACCAGCATTAAAAATCCGCTCTCAGGTATGATCATTAAATGTATGCCAAGATGGCGAGTCACAGGGATATGAAAGAGTCAGAAGCTAACAGGATGAAATTTCTCCAAACTAATTTTTTTCTTACTGATAACTACCATAATATTAGGAGGAAAGAAATTACTCCAGCATAGTTTGCTTTTGCTTCTCTGCGTGTTACAACAACACACAGAGAAACACTAAGGGGAGGTTAAGACTGACTGAGAGACACTTAAAGTGGAGTCAGGATACAACAGCACCGGGGCTGAGGTCGGAAATGGAAAAGATGTGTTTGACGAATTAAATCAGTTTCACTCCTCTTTTCCCTTTCCAGCCAGTAAGAACTGCTCTGGCACACGCTTGCTTTTGCTCCAAGCTGGCTTTTGAACCATACTAAGTAGAGGTTTCTACAGCCTTTCTGGGAACATAATCATACATGTTTCAGGGACAGGCTGTCCCTCCATTGTTAAAGCTTTTCTGCTCTTAATTTCATCCCTTAATATCAACTCTGTGTGTTTCTGTTGTTGCCTGGTTCTTTCCATTTTCTTTAACCCCTCCCTCTCTCACCCTTTTTTCATTAAATCCACCCTCTCCACTCCTGGCTGGCAGTTTACCTCCCATGGTGCTACAGCACCTAGAGAGGAAGAAGAGCCTGCTGCCAGGCCCAGCACACTGGGCTGTTTCCCAAGCTGAGTATTGCCAAGCTCCTTCCACAAGAGAGAGTGAAATTGAAGAGATTTTTTTCACTTTTGCTAACCACTGATAACCCTTTGAGATGGTTCGGATCTCCTGGATGTCCCTGGCATTGCTACATGACAGTCAGCCTTGATGTCTAACGGCTTTAACACTATCTCAAGAAGCAACTGCTGCAATTGTGCTTTTGTCTTTAAAGGTGTCTCGACGTCTGGGCAATGTGTTCTACATGATGAATCCTCCTCTGGCTGTGCCCCTGCCACCTGCTCTAGGCAAACCCCCAGATCAGCCCTCTGACATAACCTCCCCTCTTCACGGCAACAGCAGCGGTGATATGCTGGACAGTCCCTGCTCTCAGGACCCAGAAACTTCAAAAGCAGTGGAACAGATCATTTCAGAAAGCAGGGAAAATCCATGTGACTCAGCTGGATCTCAGGCTGGCTTCCAGATGATAACTTTCCAAAAAAGTTGAGCTAAGTCCAGGATATAACATGTTCTTAATAACACAGGAACCTCTAGTTATAAAGTGTTTGAGAAGTAGCTACAGCCTGAAACCACTGTGTGACTGGGGCTGAATGAAATAAGCCACAAATGCAGCATGAGGAAGTGTGGTATCTGAAAGGCATTAAAAAAATGCAACTACATGTTAGTGCAATTATTTTCAAGTGCAATTCATTGAAAAGAATACCAGTACAGTTAATGCGTACATCTAATTTTTCATTAAAGCCCACTGTCATCACTGAAATCTGTCAAGACTCAGAGTGCACTGTCTTACAGTGTGTTCCTGCGGGCAGCTGAGAAACTACAAGGAAAAGTTACAGCTTCCACACATAGCTGACTTCTGCTTCTGTGGAACAAAATCCATGCAGAAAAATTAAATTGGGAGAGTACAAAATTACCTGCAGAATTACCTAGACTCAGCAATTAGATTTAATTCCATTGCTATTCTAGAAATAAGCCTTTCTAAGTGCCTGGAAAGGGTATGCAGGGTATAGACAAGATACACAGATTAAACCCTGGACATGAAAATATCATGTGTAACAGCAATTTTAATTATTCTGATGCATTCTTATCACCGGTGTTTGAATTTGTTTTGTATGACTGCACAGCTGAGATGAGTTTAGGAGGAAGCATCAGGAGACTCTGACATGAAGACCAGTCACTGGGACAGGAAGGTTCCTGCAGGGAGCAGGCTCAAAGCCACCTGGTTCCTGCCAAACTGCCACAGACCCGTCCCCTCAGCTCACCTGGGCAAGCCAAGAAAGCCCTTCACTCAGCAGCACGCTCAGTGCCCTTCATTTTAGAAGACGCCATCAATTTTAGCCTGAAAGCTCCCTTTTTGCTGCAAAAATATGGTTTCCCCTCACTTCTGCTACTGATGCTTCATTACCTCACAGCAAACAAGAACCACAAAATAGAGTTTTTAGCTAGGGATAAATCCCTAGCACTTTATTGTGATTCCTGTGTGAATTACCTTGCTCCCCTCTTTGGAGGTTTGGTCATATACTGGTCTTCCACGTAGGCTTTGGAAGTCAGTATACTTCCACTCTCCTTGCAAGAATTACTTCTTTACTCCAAAGAACACACAAATATTTTTGATACAATTAATATCTGTAAATTGAGAGTTGCTAGATTGCAGATCTGCTGTATATAACTGCTTTAGATTCTCTCCCCTTTGTTTAGTTTGTGTGGCCTCGAGTACTTCTGAACCAAGATGTACGCTGCTGTTTGGACAGTGAGTGTCTAAACACATGAGGAGGGGAATATTCCCATATTTTAGACTTTCACTTTAGCCTGAGATAAATTGTTTTATATTTATATTTGTGCACTAGATAATAGATGATTAGATGTTTGCAATAAGATGTTAATCTTACTATACCATTCAAACTTTGCAGCCTTCAGAAGGGCAAATATCTATAGTACTTATTTTCTGAAATAGCAAAGTCTTTCTGTGAAAGGAGTTGAGCCTGATTCTGCTTTCACTGAAAACTGCCACTGACACCAATGATGGCAAGTTTGGGCTCTGTGCATATATCTCCAAATACTGTAACTGGAGTGTATGATTTAAGGGTTAACCAGTAAAATCCAGTAAGGCCCATTGCAAAAGCATGGTTTCCTATGCAGCAAAATACTCCGAAGCTGCAGACAGACCCTAAAATAATCCCCTCCTAAGTGAAGTGTTGACCTTTACATCTGTGATCTGGTGAAATAATGGGAATCTTTCCCAAGAGTCTGTATTATGTCTTATGCATCATCTTTGGGTATTTTTCATATAAGAAACTATTTACTGAATGCTTAATAGTGTTCAACAAAAGCAAAATTATAACCTGAAGCTGGAAAGTTTAACTATAACTCCATAAGACTGCCGAAAAGAAGTACAACAGCAGTATTAATCTTGAAACAGCAATTAGTTAGCTCTTCGTCTCAATTAATTTTAAAAAGTGTTGACCTCTGTTCTCTTCATCAACTTTTCTACATTTTTTTCACGGCTTTAAAATTTAGTAAGGCAGCCTGGAGAGTTTTATGTTGAATTTGGTAATGTAAATGTTTACTTTTTCAGATTCTGGATGAAACACAATTAATGTACAAAATCATATTCTGTTTGAAATGCTTTTACCTGTTATTTTAACACATCTTGGATGTGTTAGATACACCAGAAAAAATGTTTTACTTTTACAGTAGATTTAACTATTGTGACTTTTTTTTTTTTTTTGGTAAATGTAGGCTGTTCATATACTGCAAGGGAAAAAGAAAATATGTTTATATAGTAAAAGTGCTTGTTAAAATCAAAAAACCAACAGGAACATCAAATCTGTTTAGCATCTAAAACAATTTCTAACTTTTCTTTTGTATGATGGACGATCATGTTGACAATGTCACTTACTAAACACTGGTTTTCAAATGGCATCCTCATTACAATCCTCATTGTAAGAAATATTTGACTTAATTCACGTGAGACCTTCTCCACCCTGGAAGAATCTCCGATACGTTTCTAGGTCAATGAGGCCACGAGATGTCGCTGCAAAGCTAAGAGAGGTTATCCACTACCCGTCAAAGGGAGATGCAGCACGCTTGGAGTACGGGTGGCCTGGTAAGGGCAAGGATATCAAGAAACTGAAGTTGTTTTAGTAAAGCAACAGCAGAGGAGCTTGACTTGGAATCCCATACGCCAAGGAAGAAAGATTGAAATCTGGTTTTGAAGAGTGTGACTATTTTTGTAAATGGTTCAAACATGGACAATGCCAAAAGCGGAGAAAGCTGGGATGCAAACTTTGCAGTCTGGTACTACTTCTGCAATTAAAAAAAAAGTATAATCCTTTGCACATACTGGGCTCTTCTTCCCAAAATGACAAAAAGAATTACTTCATGGCTTCCTGTACTGGGGTGGAGTTGTGCCAGAGCAGCCAAAATGCAGTAGGGCCTGGACTGCATACAACCATAGAGTGAAACAGGAAGGAAAGGGGTTTACCTAAATGGACACAATCAATTCTACTTCTAATGAAGGAAATACCATTGCTAATGAATGTTTCCTCTCCTACAAGCACTTCAGAGAGAATGAAATAAAAAACCCAGGTAACAATTAAAAAAATACATAGAATAAGTAGACAGACCCATATTTTCAGACTTTGATGTATTCCAGGAATTACATTTATGGGTAAACATTGGGGCCTTACCGATTCTCAGCAGCTACATGTTCTTTTTTGATTTTTAATGCTTATTCCAGCTGCAAAGGGGTGTAGCAGCAATCACCAGTATGTAAGACAGCTGGCAGAACTCTACTACTTAATGACTTTCTGGTGCTTATGCCACCACTGTATTCATTTTTTTCTGCTATGCCACTAAAATCACAATGGGATAGAGATGATGTATTTTAATATGTGTGGCATCATTAGAAATGTTTCACTTCTATTGTTGTATTAATCTGTAATAGCGATGCAGTTAATGAAGAAGAGAATGTTTTTATGATATGTAGAAGTATCTGATTTTGGCTGTATCTACTCGAAACGTGTAGGCTCCTAGGGACAGGGACTTCCATTTCATTTTTTTATAGGGAAAGGTGAAAGACAAGATAAATAAAAAGGTATAACAAACATAACAAAATGGTTCTGTACTACAAATAACAGTTTTAGGAAAGTCCTGAAAAGGAAGCAATGGTTTGTCCTTCCTACCATAACCTGTGTTTCTGACCTCATGATTGCTGCATGTGATGATGATGTGGAATGCATATTCACGCAGACTTAAATAGATAATCCTCTTCTCAATTCCCCAGGTGAAAAATTTCTAAAACCCACTATGAATACAGTGCAGTTAGGCAGAATTCTTACCTGGTCCAAGTCAGGCAGTCATTGTAATCAAGCACACGAAAACAGGCAGCTAAATCCACAAGGCAATGGTATTTCAAACCAACTCATACGCATGCCACCAGCTACTTTATAAAATTTAGAATTCTGAGACCTTATACAATCGTGAATCCACCATAAAATAGTTTTCAGAATGTTAATTTATCCTTTGAATGTGAAACAGAAAAAAAAAAAAATTTAAACTACGTAGAAACGTCTCATATTTAGACTTTCTAAATACCCTAATACAATGTTGATTGGTTGTGTAGTGTTTTGTGTCACCTTCAACATCAGAAATTTTACAGACAAGTACCCAAAACTAAATACAGCTCTTGGTTTGGTACCATGCTCTGATAATGGCATAATAAATATCCTATCTAAGCCCTTTATTATTCACTGGAAAATAACAAGCCAGCTCTGTGGCTGGGTATTCATCAGGGTTCTGCTACCTGTGACACTTGGTGTTGATTCAGCCCTGCAAGTCTAATAAATATCTATAGCTATAATATACTGCTATGGCAATTTCAACATAAGAATAAATGTTAAGGTAAGAGAAAAAAAGTGTTTGTTTTAGGTTTGGGGGGTTTTCGGGTGGGGGTTGCTTTCTGTCTTTGTCGTTGCAAAGCTCTTCTGTGGGAAGGCTTTGCCTCTACTGTCACCTATATTGAGGTCACAAGAATTCTGTTGACTTGGCCTTTACACAGTCCTTTCCTTTGTCCCATTGCCAAGTTTACCTAAGTCTGTATCCTTCCAGACAGACATTAGTTCTGCTACTATGCACATGTTCTTCTTGAACCAACAATTTCCCTGTTGGTGAGAATGCAAAGTCTTTCACCTAGACTGTAGAAAAGAGGAACCTATTGTCCCTGTTGTACAGAGAACGATAGAATATTTTCTCCTATAGTACAGCAAAGACATGAATAGATGTTTTGCCTTATCAAAATTTAAAAACACGTGTATGTGGCATCTGCGTGTGTGAATTACTGAAATAAAAACCAGTCAACCAAAATACCAAACAGAAAAAGCACTGCTGACCAAGGGGAAAAAAGAAAGCATCAAGCCAACCTGATTTTCATCTTTGCTGATTACCTTTCAGGCACAGGGTTCAAACAGCTCTGCTAGAGAGGAGTGCTGCTCAGTCTGTGACTCAGGGGACTCCAGCAGTCTGTAAACAGTTTGCATTGAAAGATGGGCTGCAAAGCAGTCCTGGCTTTTGGTTGAATCTCTTAATTGGACAGACATGAACTCAAGAATCATATTTTCATATATTTTTAACTCAAACACTTGTAGCCATAACAAAAAAAAAATTTGCTTTTAATAACAACAATTAGTTTTTCCTAATTCTATATCCTTAAATATTACCATTCTTCTCCTCCCCTGCTTCCACTGCCAAAAAATAGAGATACAAGCAAGCCTTTTATAATTTTTTTTTCCCCCAAAACCTCAGCTGATTCTTCCAAAAAATGTATTGATGTATTTTCCATTTAACATAGTTATGTGTCCAGGTACATCCCCACTGACTCCAGCGCGGTCTGCTGTACCAGCAGATTGAGGGTAGTCTTTAGGAAGAGCTATATACCACTCCATGTCCGGAGAGTCATGTCCTTACCAGGGTTCATCAGTTGTTGGTAAAATGAAAATAGATTCTTGCAACAAACAAAGCTGGTATTTGAAACAGATGCAATTAATTACAGAAGGACCAGAATCGGGAGAAATTAATTCTTAGTTCAGCTATGTTTTTTGTAAGTTACATGTATCAATTAATTCTGAGTTGTATAGAAATGAAAAGGAACTTGCAAGACTGGAAGTGTTTAAGAAGCTTCTTAGTGAAAGATAATTCTGGAGATTTGTCTAATGAATCCTTGTTGTTCTGCTAAATTAAAAGCTAAGTGGCTAACTAAATATTTATAAGCTTCTGAGATGGAAGTGACTCAGGATATGTCTACAGTGGAGTGTGCTTCTGAGTTATGACTCATGTATTTGTGGGTGGATTTTAGCTGAACCTGCCTTGAAATTATGTGATGCTGTACAGTACAAGGACCATATTCCTTGTATTTTAAACCCATGTTCAGTGCTGAAGCTGACTGGATGAAAAGAGGGGTCACTCCAGAGCCTGCAGCATGCTACCATCTGTAGATGAGCTAGGAAATGGCTCCTAACATATTCCTGGGGAATCTGGATTCCTTTGTGGAAACTCGCTCCTTCCTGCCTTCCTGTCTTCCCTCCTGCCTGCCTTCTTGCCCATCAACGTAATAGTTGAGGTAATTGTGATTTGTGTTCTCCTCTGTCTTCCCCCAGAGCCAGAAGGATTAACCATGGGACCAGTGGGTAAGCTTCCTGTAAGTGAAAAGTTTGTTCTGCAGAACAGACACTTGCTCAGACTTCTTGTGTCACTTCATTTTCTGTATTGCAGAAGGCAGTGTGACTCTAGAGATATTTCATGACATGCTTGCCAGTAATTCAGTTGCCAACTTGTAGCCTTGCACTTCTGGCGTGTATTAACCATACCATAGTGGTAAGACCACATCATCTTAGGGACCCAGGTGACTAACAATGAGCCGAAAACAATGAGATTACCAATACCATAAATGCCAATAAATTGACAAGAATAGGTGCATATAAGGGTATAAGGAAATACGTACCAGAAAGAGTAGAACACCACCTAACTCGATGTCCTGCCTCAGAGGCCAAAGAGAGGATACCTAAAGCAAAGTGTAAGAACAAAGCAAACATTTCAGAATACTTCCTTTATCTCCAGGGTCCTATCTTGCAGACAGCCAGAGGTGATTTTTATATTTAATAGCTCCTGATACACTTTTGCTTCATGAGTATATCCAGCTGTTTTTTGAACAGTTTCCAGCATCCATACTGCCATTAGATCACAGAGCTGGAGCAAAGAGGAGGAGAAGGAGGGTAAAGAAGTTAATGAAATGCTGTCAGTTTGGCTTCAGTTGAAAAAGGAAACCACTCCACTTGCATGCAATATCCTTCACAACAGTAATTTAAGTGGTCATGATTCTGAAACCCTGCTCTAATCAAAATGGCAGTTGGCACTTAAGGACTTAGGATTTTGCTGCATGGTTCTGAAATGCTTCTTTTTGCAGCTTGCCCTACAGCTGACATAGACACTAACCTTAAACATAAGCTGTCTGAACCTTCACTTCCACTCCCTGGCTTTCTTGAGATTCAGCCACTTGCTTCTCTTCTGTTCTCCTGCTCTACTGACAACTGCAAATAAACTTGTCCCATGTAAGATTCAGTCTTGATAGGCTTTGTGCTCCACAGTGGTAGGAAGCTCACCATCCAGTGCCTCACACTGAGGACACATTCCTCAGACCACTTTACATCCCTTTGTCCTTTCTTACAGTTCTTCTT